AATGTATCTTTTGTTTAACATAGTCAATATTTTTAGGTATCATAGTGGTATCACCAGAGGACGGAGAACGGTGGTCGGAGAGAGAAGAGAGGAGAGAGGAGAGTTTTAAAATACCAAAAATATCCTTGCATTAAGATTTTAATTTAAAATTACCAAATTTATAAATTTCCTAATTTATCTATTGATTTGTGGTTAATATTGGTTCTCACAGTTACCACAAACAACTCAGTTCTCCCTTGAATAGACCCCTATATATATATATATATATATATATATATATATATAGACTTGGGATCATGTGAGACCAGTCTGTTTTCGTGAAACCCGTGAGACCAACATTTTACACTTGAAACTTCACAGCAAAATGCTGTGAAGGTGACTTTTTAAAACCTTCACAATGTTTTTGCTGTGAAGGTTCGACATTTTTAAAACCTTCACAGTGTTTTTGCTGTGAAGTTTACGTGTAAAAATGTGGTCTCACGGGTCTCACGAAAACAGGCTGGTATCACGTGAACCCAACCCTATATATATATATATATATCGATTATATCTATATTTAAAGTTGAAAGGACAAGGAAAATAAATTACGGTGAGAAAAGGGAAATTATATTTACACCGCCGCTTTAGCTTTTTATCATTATTCTTACTTCCCCTTATTCTCCCTTACTTCTTTCTAAAGAAAATCGTGTATATCATGAGAGCAGTGTGACGCCCACCTTTCAAGAACACGGAGTCGGATTTATACTTGCCTGAGATCGCACTCTGTTTTCCTTCTTCTTCTTCCAAGATCATAGATCAAAATCGAAGTTCTTCTCACTGTTCTTCATGGGTACGCTATGCACTTCATTTGATTCAGAACACACCAGTAGTAATTTTATTTTTTTATAAATATTTTGTTATCCCTTTTCCAAGTCAGAAGAACCCTAGAACTGAATTGCTTGATTTGATCGATTGTTATCGATATTTTGTAGGGCCTACAAGAGCAGAAGTTTTGAATTCTAGATTATTGTACTTCAATTTTTGATGTTAGTTAGCGGTTCGATGCTATTGATTGCTATTGTGTTCAATTGGGTTTTTTGCTGAAATTTGATCTTAACTCGATCGTAAAGTGCTGTATTGCAGAACTATAAGTATGTCGGATCTTTGATCGGCTAAACTGGATTCCCTTGTGTTGTTTTTGTTATATTGTAGAATTAGAGAGTTTAAAGACTAGATTTTGACTAAATATTATGTGTCCATAGTTGGATCTGCAAAAATAGCGATGGAATAAGGTGTAGTGAACCTAAGGGGCAGTTTGGTTGGATTAAGCTGTGTGTGTGGATTTTAATCTGAATGTTTTTGTTTGGGATGTTTTTTTTATAGATGGAAGGATGGTTCTTCTAATTGGGAGAGGCATTTTTGAAAACTTGCTTTTTACATAATGCTCCTCTCTAGAAACTTACTGAATAAGTCACTTTCTGTATCATTAAGCCACTATCAAACAGTCATGTATAGCTGATCGAATAAGCTGTGAGTCTCATTAAGCTGCTAACAAAAAGACCCTAAATTGGTAACTGGGTAAGCTGGAAAACAGAGATATGAATGGAAGTAGACCAAGAATTGGATAATTTTTTGCTATCGTTTTGTGTCATTATCATTGCGTTTGGAATACTTGGGGTTTGTAATAAAAATGTCTCCCTATCGGGTTTTGTGCAATTACGAATGCCATTTTAGTAACTGTTTTATTGGGGATACTTGAAGTTTTTGCAATCAAAATGTTGAATTGTAGATCGTGGGAATTTATGCTTTTGAATTGGGTAGTTTAAAGTGATCGGTTGTTTTCAAATCTCTTGCTTTGAGGTGTTCGAATTGAAGGGATTACGATATACCCGTTTATATTTTATAATCATGCAAGTGATCTCTTTTTCTTTCCAGATAAAGAAGCCCAATGTTGCTCGACCCACCTCATAGAGGGGGATGGTACTTTCAATGCGGTTGGACTTGATAATTTTATCAAACAAGTCAAACTGGCGGAATGTGGACTTTCTTATGCCGTTGTTGCTATCATGGGTCCGCAGAGCAGCGGTATGTTTCTTTTAAGCTATTTAAAAGTGAACTTGTTTCATGTTTCACGTGGGCGCGATAGAATCCATCAATATTTGCATTAAATTTCGTTAAATTAATATTACAAAAAAGAAAAATCCCGTTGGCGTGGTGATTGTGTTGTCCTTTTGTTATCATTTCCCACTCCCACCGAAGCCACTGAAGAAACATTTGTTGCACAACATTGTGTCTCTTATTTGTCTACTTTTTTGTGTTTTCATTTTTTTAAAATCATACTCCCTTTTTGCCAAAAGAATTCGAACATTTGACCATACACGAATCAAGAACGTAATCGGCTAGTAGCTATATCGTTCTCTTATAATAAATGTCGTGGACCAAAATGAACGAAGATATGCTTGCAATCACCTAAACATGGAAAAATAAGTAATTTCAATTTTAAATTGTCAAAAAAGGACATGTTGTAATATTCAAGGGGCGGCCCAATCAATTTTTGTGGAATGGAAGAAATCTTATTTGTGGCAATGCTGGTTCTCTTTTATGGTTTATTTCTTTCCGTAGGTTTGAATATATATGTACATATATATAGGGGCTTAATCATTTGAGAACTCCATATATTGTGATAACAGTTCTCTATCTTAAGGTATTGTTTCACATGATTTTTTCTCATTTAAGGCTAGCATTTGATGTATTGATGAACATATATTTGTTTCAMAATGTCTTTGCTTCATATGTATGTAGTTCACGATGTGAAACTTTTTGATGTGTAACTTTTGTTTCACAAACATACTAAAAAGGTTCACATTGTGAAACAATTACATTGTGATACAAACATATGCTAATCGATATTCTAAATCTCAGTCTTAGATGAAAAAAGATCATATAAAATAACACATGATGCTCTACTTCTCAAGGTTATCACAATTTCATGGGCTCTTAAAAGAAGGTCCCCTACATATATACATACAAGAATCGGGTATTCCCATTTATTTGCTGTTTTGTGGATTTTTGGTCAATGAATCCATTGACATTGCATTATATGCAAGTTTTGATGTTAATGTGTTTCTGACAGGAAAGAGCACACTTTTAAACCATCTTTTCAATACCAACTTCAGGGAAATGGATGCTTACAGGGGAAGGCATGTTCTATTTTATTATTTTTTAATACCATTTTTTGTTCAATTTTCAATTCTCTTTCATTAGCTATGGCTTTGGTAACGAGATGTATTATTTCTTCTCAGGTCCCAGACTACGAAAGGTATTTGGATAGCAAGATGTGCTGGTATTGAACCTTGTACTATTGTAATGGATCTTGAGGGAACAGATGGAAGAGAGCGAGGAGAGGTTATTATGAATTTTTATTGTTATTTTCTTGGATGTTTATCGTTGTTTTGGTTCTTGTTTGTCTTATCATATACGTGTCGGTTTATCTGTGGTTTTACTTTGTATATTATCACATGTGATATTGGTAGTCAAAGGGAAGTTCTGTTAGGAACCCAAAATTGATTAGGAATCTGGGAACCGTCCAAATGCGCCACATGTCCCACTTTAGGATGAATATTCATTAATAACACAATTATGATGAATATGCAAGTGTTATTTATTATGAATAACACATTTATGATGAATACGGAAGTGTTATTCATCATGAATCACACATTCATGATGAATATGTTACAACATTCATGATGAATAACACGTCCATATTTCTTGTCAGTGTCGTGCTGTGGGCGGTTCCTAGGTTCCTGATATTGTTAATTAATACACACTCAAAGAATTCACTTTATTGCTTAATTGTTCTTGGTTCATGCATAACATTGGTTACCTTCATTTATTAACGTTTTGTTGCTCTCCCAGGATGATACCGCATTTGAAAAACAGAGTGCACTTTTTGCGCTTGCCGTTTCAGATATCGTGCTTATAAACATGTAAGTATTCCAGTAGCTTTAGATAAATTGTGCGTATCCGAACTCCTTGTAGACTTACGTTAAATTTCCGGTTAAATTTGTATTAAATAGGTGGTGCCACGATATTGGGCGTGAGCAGGCTGCAAATAAACCTCTGCTGAAAACCGTATTTCAGGTACACTTCCGTACCCCTTTATTTAATCAAATTTTCCTCGCCCGTTTGTTGATCTTCTTCTTTTATGTTTTTCAGGTTATGTTGCGGTTATTTAGCCCTCGTAAAACAACTTTAATGTTCGTTATACGTGATAAAACGAGGGTAAGTTTTTGTCTTTTCTAGGGATAATATAATATGATGTGATTTTTTATTTATCTTTTATTTCTGTACAGACACCTCTCGAAAATCTTGAGCCTGTCTTGAGGGAAGATATCCAAAAGGTACTTTTTCCGGGTTTTTATATGGATTTTATTTATTATATATCTTGTCGCGTTAGAATTGATACAATCTTATAACTTATGATAATATGTTTATATGCTGTAGATATGGGATTCCGTTCCCAAGCCGGAAGCCCACAAACGAACCCCCCTGAGTGACTTTTTTAATGTAAGATACCAAGATATAACACTTATATTGTAATTTTTTTTAATTATTATTATCTTATATATTTTTTTATTGTTTCATGGGACGGAATACCGTATATAATTTCTGACTTGATTGAGTGAATAGGTTCAAGTTGTTGCGCTTTCTAGCTATGAAGAGAAGGAAGAACAATTTAAAGAGCAGGTATGCAATATTTGTATGTTCCTTTTCGAATCTCTTTCATTATACCATGCAAAGCTAGCTATTGGCTGAAAAACTAGCATCGCCACGTTTGGTGAAAACTGGCTCGTAAGCTAGATGACAATGTAAAATGACATAGAATGACATGTTGAAGAATTACTCAAATCTAACATATAATGGGCACAAGTAGAAAAGGAAGTGGAAAAAAGCCCCTGGAGCTTATTTAAAAAAAATGAAAGCTATCTGAAGTAGCTTTTCAAAAGTTAACTTATAAGCTAGTTGTTGGTTGATAGCCACTTTTGGTGAAAACTAGCTGGTAAGCTAGATGACAATGTAAAATAACATGTTGAAAAGTTATCAAATCTAACATATGAGGGCATAATTAGAAAGAAGTGAAAAAAGCTCCCGGAGCTTATTGAAAACTGAAAAGATATCTGAAGTAGCTTTTCAAAAAGCTAGCTTATAAGCTGCCACTCGTTGGCGACGCCTTATTTTCTACGAACACCCCATCACTGAATGAGACCGTAATTACAATAGATAACTGCTCCTCCCCTTCTCGGTCTTTAAGGCTTTGATTTATGATTCAATGAATGACTGAAAAATTATCTACCTAATCCAATGTTTCATAAAATGGGTATGAGTATAGTATATGTACAAACAGGATTCGCGTGTGATAAGGTAATCATGAAACCTTGACGATAGATCAATTCCCTTTTTTGGGAGGGTCTTGAATACATAGTTTATGGCTTATTGAACAGGGTTTTTTCAATAAGCTCAAAAAATAAGCTAGCTTATGGTTGCTAAACATGCCATAAGTTCCGATTATTTACTTCTTTCTTTGTCTTGGAAGGTGGCTAGTTTGCGGCAGAAATTTTTCCATTCCATTGCACCTGGTGGTCTAGCGGGTGATAGGCGAGGAGTTGTTCCGGCTTCGGGTTTTTCCTTCAGTGCACAACAGATATGGAAAGTTATCAAGGAGAACAAAGACCTTGATTTGCCTGCTCACAAGGTAACGACTATAGACATTTACGATAAAAATTTGACATATTGTCTATATGTTGAAAAACCGAACCAAACGAAGCCCGACCCAGTAAATCCGACACGAAGTAGGGTTTCGGGAGGGTATGATGTTTCCGTGAAGACTCCCCCAGCTTGTCTATATCTTGAAAGTTTTCTGTTAATTTCAGGTGATGGTGGCAACCGTACGATGTGAAGAAATTGCTAACGAGAAATACTCTTCCTTTGTTGCAAATGAGGTACATAACTTGGGGGCTATTTGGTTGGTTTTCCATTAAGTCCTGTATGGATAAAGTTGTCTGTGTGGATTAATCTGTATGCATAGATCAGGAAGGTTTTTGTTTGGGAGGGTTTTCATTGATGGAATGAGCATGTTTCTTTAATTGGGAGGGGCAAGTTTGGAAAAAAACTTGGCTTTCTGCATAAAGGCACCCTAGAAGCTTACTGAAGAAGCCACTTTCTATATCATTAAGCCACTACCAAACGGTCACGTAGAGCTGACCAAATAAGCTGCGAGTCCCATTAAGCTCACTAAGCTACTAACAAACAGGCCCTTAGTAACCCATCAGCCGAAAACTCGTTCAGTTTTAATTATTTGACTAAATAATCGTTTTGTAGGACTGGCTCGAATTAGAAGAGGCCGTACAATCTCAACTCGTACCAGGGTTTGGAAGGAAGCTTAGTTCACTGCTTTCCAATTGTTTATTCAGGTAACAAGGAACACCTTCTTTCACCTGTTTTAGAAGACATTCTTTTGTTGAATTTTTACAACTTCTTTCGTGGGCATTTCGATATTTTTGTATTCAGTTATGACGAAGAGGCTACTTACTTTGAAGATAGTGTTAGATCCACAAAAAGAAAGCAGTTGGAAGAGAAATTGCTGCAAGTAATGTTTCTTGTTCATTGTTCGTATGGTTCGAGATTGCTAAATGTGATTGGTGTTTATTCATCGGTAGTATTTTTTTCCTCATTGCTTGGTGTCGTCTATAAATATTCAGCTTGTTCAACCGGCCTACCAATTGATGTTGGAACACATTCGATCGGGGACACTGGATTACTTCAAGAAAGCACTTAACGATTCTTTGAATGGAGGACAAGGGTTTGCAGCGGCTGCTCGTGATTGCACTACAAAATCCACGAGACTGTTTGATGAACAATGTAAAGGTATAGCTATTAAGCGTCTTTTTTCAAGAACAATTTACCTCGAGTAAATTATGATTTTCGTCCCTATAGAGTGCAATTTGTTGCTATTTTCGTCCATGAACTAATTCCTACCTTTAAGTACAAGGGACCAAAACAGTAAAGAATTGTAAACCACTGGGACTGAAACAACAATAAATTGTAAATCATAAGGGTGAAAATAACAATGAACTACAAACCATAGCGATGAAAACCGCAATTTCTAGACCATATGGATGAAAATCGCAAATTTTAACAAACCACAGGGACGAAAAACGTAATTTACTCATTTACCTTTTTACCCATTAAACCAAATATACCTTTTTACTCATTAGTGATTACCAATATGCTGCTCTATGCTCCGGGGTAGAGGTCAGGTTTGCGTACATCTCACCCCCAGATCCCATATGTGGGTGGGACATACTAGGTTTGTTTGGTTTGGTGGTCAGGAATATATCGGTAACATCTATTTTGGTGAATGTGATTCCTTTATTTTGTTTTTATTGAGGTGCATATTAGATATTTGACTGATATTTAGATGCTTATATTGAACTATGTTTCAAGCTGAACAATGCGTTTATTGCGATTAAGCATCTCACGCTCATTTGTGGGACTGATTCACTGAATCTACAGATGCCATCATCAAGCAAGCGAATTGGGATTCGGCTAAAGCAAGGGATAAGTTTTCACGCGATTTAGAGTCGCATATTGCTGAAGTTCGAACTGCCAAACTGTCCGAACTTACTGCACTGTATGAGGTAATATTAACATAGGGGCATGTTCGTTTGAGAACCGTAAGTACTTTAAAGAAACCGTGAGAACGAACTATTCATGATGAATAACATGAATAATGAAAATGCATGATATTCATGATGAATATTTAGGTATATTCATCGTGAATATGTAGGTACATTCATCATGAATATTTAGGTATATTCATCATCAATAATTCATGAATAGTTGGTTCCCACGGTTCTCAACATCTTACGTGTAGTTCTAAAATCCACTTGAGATGCAACTTTTCTTCGTTATCATTAAACCCTTGCGATGGGATAGTTGAACATTTTATGCATTTTTCTGCAGTCGAAATTAAAAAATGCATTATATAGTTCGGTGGAAGCTCTTCTAGAAGGAGGTAGTGATGATACTTGGCCCGCAATAAGGAAACTTCTTAATCATGAAACCGAAACAGCCATCTCCGAATTCTCTGTTGCACTTTCTGGCTTTGAGATGGACGAAGAAGACGAGGAAGACATGATTTCAAAATTGAGGAATTATGCAAGAGGAGTCGTCGAAGCGAAAACAAGAGAAGAAGCCGGAAGAGTTTTGTACCGCATGAAGGAGAGGTACCATATGGAATTTGTGGTCTCGTTTATATATTACCGTAAGGTTTGCACGGAAACATCCGCTCTACTCTTTGGGGTAGAGGTCAGGTCTCCATGCATCTCACGACCCATGCCCCCAAGACCTTGCTTTCGAGTGGGATTTACTAGAGATGGCAACGGGGTCGGGGTTATCACAATCCCCATCCCCATCCCCATCGGGGAATTAGGGAATTTTCTCCGTTCACAAAAATTAATTTTTTTCATAACATCTTTATAAATGCCAATTTCACGTTTCAAATACACATTATTCTAAACCTTCATTGTTTAACCAAATTTTAATGATGGCATTGATATAAGAGTATTTCAAAAATAAATATATCAATTACAGTACTTAATAATTGAATATTTATATATCCACGTTATATCACCAAAAGTTTCTTCGAACAATCAACCCAATGTTATTTTTGAAAGTTCTCTCATCATCGTATATAGATTATTATGTGTTATATATACTTGTTTGTCGGTTTATTCTATTATACACACACACACACACATATACACACACACACTATATATGAGAACTTATTATTTAATACTTAGGGTCAGGGTCATGTTTGAGGGGTATCCCTATCCCCGGTTAACAAATTCGGGGATTCCCAATCTCCGGTCACACCGGGTTCGAGTATCGGGTACATTTTTTTTTGCCATCGATAGGATTTACCGAGGTGGTTTGGTTTGATTTATTTCTGTTTTATCGTAACTCGTGGCCATTCATACAGATTTACATCCATATTCAACCATGATAACGATTCCATGCCACGAGTCTGGACGGGAAAGGAAGATATTCGAGCAATAACTAAAACTGCCCGGTCTTCAGTGAGAATCATACTTCATCAGAGGATATATCACCTTTTATATTTGATATTGAATCTACATGTCTTTTATCACGAGGCTTATACGATTGTTCTTTATATATATATTTTCTTCTTTCAGTCTCTAAAATTGCTATCCGTTTTGGCTGCCATTCGTTTGGATGAAGACACTGATACGATTGGGGATACATTAGTCCTCGCATTAGTGGATCCAAAGAAAGGTACTAGTAAGAGTACCGCTTTGCAAGATCCATTGGCCTCGAGCACATGGGAAGAGGTACGGTGTTTTCTTATTAATTTATTGTAACCCTTTTTACATAGTGTACAACTGTTTGGTCTTGTAAATTTAAGTCCTGTAAAGCAGTCTATTAGGACATTTAGACATATTTGGCGTTTTTGTCGTAGTGTGGGCTTCGAACTTTGATGGTTTTGATTTGGACAACGGAATATGTGGACTTCATTAACGAATCCAAACGTGAACTTCATTAACAACATTTTTTGTGTGCATTTTATTTGTTCACATCCAGGTTCCGGCTACAAAGACACTCATAACTCCTGTTCAGTGTAAATCGTTGTGGAACCAGTTTCAAAGAGAAACCGAGTATACCATCACCCAAGCTATTGCTTCCCAGGTTCGTGCTTTTCGTTTTGTTGACTGCGATTGGTGTATATTTGACTTCGTTTTATGTTGAACACAAGTATCATAGGCTAAGAATATTCAGATTGCTTCAAGCTTAGCCACTGGTGCAAATGTTTTGTCAAAATCAATGCCTTCCTCTTGCCTATAACCTTATCAAATCTTCGTTTTTCATACAACTGTAAGCATGCCATTGTTTCTAGTGTGAGTTCAGAGTTCTTAACGTGTTTCCGCTATGGTTTTCAGGAAGCTAACAAGCGCAATAACAACTGGTTACCACCTCCATGGGCAATTGCGGCCATGGTGGTTCTTGGATTCAATGAGTTCATGACTCTTTTGAGGTTCTTTTTTGTGTTCATCGTTCACCATTATCATATTTCTTCATCATCCAAAACCGGGCTTCCCTTATAAATATATGTATTTTGCAGGAATCCTTTATGGCTACTTGTTATATTTGTGAGTTATCTCCTTCTCAAAGCTTTGTGGGTTCAACTAGACATATCCGGTGAATTCCGCAATGGCGCGGTGAGTTATAACCTTCAAGAAATAGTTTTCTTTAGTCGAAAAGAAGTCGGAGAATGAGTTTATGAGTTGCACATCCAACATTGTTTACCCGGTTTCATAGGATAAAGTTCAAATAACCAACTATTCATTATGAATCAACCCTAAAATACTCATGAACAGTATTCAACATTTCATTATTCAACATGATATTCATAATGAATAATTGGTTCCGAGGTTCTCTAAATGTTTACTGTTTCTAAATGAACCTGGCCGGTTTCTAATAACATCTTTTTCGGTCAACAGCTTCCGGGAATTCTGTCGTTATCCACCAAGTTTCTTCCCACAGTCACGAATCTTCTTCGAAAACTGGCGGAGGAAGGGCAAAGGCCAACGACCACCGATGCACACAGCAATACCTCGAATCCACCACAAGCATCGAGGATTATACAAGGTGTTGTTGGGAGTAACAGCGGTTTCTCGTCAACTGCTTCATCGGAGGTAACGATGGAAAACGAAGTGGAATACACTAGCCCTTCTAGACATGATAAAGATCTGTGATTAGTAATAATAACATCCCTTCACTGTATCTATGCAAAACTTGTGTATTTTGCCGGAAAAAATGAAAAGTTGCCGGAAATATGGCCGGCTGCCGTTGATCACTGAGAATCCTAAAAAACCCTGTTGATCGATGTTATAGTATGAAAGGTTAGGAAAACGAGCGGGGGCATTTTCGGAATTGGATTTTGATTTTAGAGAGAGACCCGGATCAAATGGGAACTTGTGTTTTAGGTGTCGATAGTTTGTTTTGTATGATAATGTCGATAACTGCTACTCGGTCTTCTACATTGTGTTGGATTTTGTCATCCGAGAAGAATAATGTCGATGTTCGCTTGTACGTACTCTTAAAGATTGTCTAGAGAATTACCCGTGTTCGTACTTTATGCCGACATTTGTGTATGCGAGCTTCGGAGTCGATTTGGTGACTCAAGTTACAATTATGACACACCAACACAATATTAGATCTGATCTGATTTGCTTTTCACATGATGTTCCTTACAGTGTGGATCTGTTGTTGTCGGTTACGAACCCTTTTACACGAACATAAGAGCATCTCCAATGGTAACTTTTTCAAAGATGTCGTTTACCAAATGCTTACTCGGGTAAGCGCTTTTCAAGTTATACTACCTCACTGAATGAATATGGCAAAGACCAAGAATCTTACCCTTTAAGAGCGAAAGCAAGGACTGAGAGTCTTACCCGGTAAGTGATAGCGATAACTCTTACCACGGTTGGTGCTTGCTGGGTAATATAACACCCAAACAAAACGGATAAGGTAGAAGACAACTTGTACCAAAAGTATGAAGTGGAAACTAGAGCTTAATAAGAATTCACCCAACAAAAGGAAAAATATAGCGTTTACAGATAACAAAAAGGACGGTAATAAACAACCTATTAATCTAGACAATTCTACGCCTAGATTAAAAACGGGTGTTACTATCGTCTTCCAACAAAATACCATGCCATCGAATGTTATAACGCTCAAAGCACCAAATGCTTTATCTACAAAAATACTTATTGAAACAATTATTCTTCTCAGCCCTTTGGAGCCCCGCCACTAAAAGAACCTGCTAAACGAGCCAAATCAAGAGAGAGTGTTAGGCTTACGCCTAGTGAGTCCAAACAAAATATAATCAAGCTATATAACCATCATATGTGTGTGTATATATATATATATATATATACACACGCACACGTAATGTAACCTTAAACGATACAAAAGAAACAATTTATTCCAAACGAATCTCGAGATGGGGCCAAAACATCCGAAGATGACGGAGGAGGCCCGATTTGCCGTTAATCATGACGGAACACAAAGTAAGTCATAGATCAATGTTATAGAGTATCACTTGCAGGTTTAGAACCATCGACATCAACCTAAACTAGTCATATAGTCGGTCGTGATCTTAAGCTCTTTATCTCGGAAATTATATAATAATTGCAATGCCTATTTCCAAATGAAAGTGAGAAGGTGATTTGGAATTACATAATTAACACAATGCCCAAATCCAACTTACATCATCCTTCACACATATGCTATGAAACGACTTTCATGCTTATAATCTCAATACATAATAATGACATACTTAAATTCGGTACCTTAAGCATATTGGTACCTATTTATCCGTAAGATCTTGTACGTGTCCTTTAACTAATTGGAATATCCCCATTTTTGCAAATAAAGAGCTTCAACGAAAAGGTGGGGGGTTTTAGAGTTTTATGGCCAATAATATTTTGAATGAGTATTTTACCAAGTGATTAAAGTCATTTTCCCCAAACTCCAATTATCATTAAAACGGGATTCCTAAGTTCGTTCATTTACTTAAAAGAAGTCTCTATTTCCAACGGAGCAAGTGATTTCACAAATAAAGTAGGAGGTAAGTATATTGAATCATTTCATATGAGTAAGGTCCTATAATTAAGGTTGAATGAACTCACCTCGCAGGAGAAATCCTAATATCTTGAAACTAAAAAGGGAGGTGGAAAGAGGGTTCCAAAGACAGCAGGTAAGCCTAGAGGGGAAAGAAGGAAGAGAAGTAGGCTGCCGGTGCGACGTAGGGCGCGGTGAGATACAACAGCTACTGCTGCTGCTGTTTGGTGCAGGGTGCGGCACAACGGTTCAATACAGCAGGTTCCTGCTGCTGCGATTTGGTCAAGAAGGTGCAGAAAACGCAGCTAATGCTGCTGTTTTGGCGAGGCAGCGAAGGCAACACAGCGGCTGGGTAAAGTGAAGGAAGAAACAGCACAGCAAGGTCTGGTGTTTGCGGATGGAGGCACAGTGCAGCGGCCCTCCCCCTTCTCACCATCATCCTTACACACCTAACTTGAAACCTTTTCAGTGATTTTCTGCTTCTTCCCAAGGAACCTCCAAAGTTTCTCTCTTTTCTAAAAAGGATCTAGAGGAGGGTGGGTCTAGGGGTAAAGGTGTAAGATGACAGTAAACCCCCCTTTCTTATTTTAAAATCTGCTTTACAGAGAAAAGGACCTAAAGATAATAAAAATTAAATATAAAATAGAAGGAATTTTTTTTTTGGGTGTTACAGGTAAGTTGTTACATATGATGTCGTTTTGATAGACTAAAATCTTACCTAGTAAGTAAGTGATAACGTTTAATTTTTACTTTTAAGTGCTTACCAGATAAGTGTTTAGGTAAAGGTCCCCTTATTCTACAACAATTGATTGATCAAATGGTACTATCTCAATTAAATTTTCACGTTACCTCCTTCATTCGATCTTATTTTCGTTTTAATCTTTTGTTAATATTTATTAATTAATCTAATTTATTAAATAGAAGTAAATATTTTATAAGAAAATATATCATCAAATACTCGATGAGATGATTAAAATGACAACAATATCGAATATATATATATATATATATATATATATATATATATATATATATATATAGAGAGAGAGAGACTTGGGATCATGTGAGACCAGCCTGTTTTCGTGAGACCCATGAGACCAATTTTTTACACTTGAACCTTCACAGCAAAATGCTGTGAAGGTGACTTTTTTTAACCTTCACAGTGTTTTTGCTGTGAAGGTTCGACTTTTTTTAAACCTTCACAGTATTTTTGCTGTGAAGTTTACGTGTAAAAATGTGGTCTTACGGGTCTCACGAAAACAGGCTAGTCTCACGTGAACCCAACCCTATATATATATACGGGTGAGTTCATTTGTTAACCCAATATATGATGTTAACCTTGTGAACTAATCTTAGCGTGTAATCTTTTTAATCTCTGGATGAAGTTCATCATGACATTTTTGTAACAAATTAAAAAAGGATGTTTAATAAACATAGGTGAACAATCATGAATAAAGGGTCATTTCGATTTTCGGGGAGAAAAAAAAGGGAGATTTCTTTTAGCATTAATTATTTTTCCGATAATTACTCTATCGTTTTGAAAAACCGACATCAGGCTTTAATTACTCCTCCATTTATTAATATGTAATGTGTAACCTATAAATGTTGTGAACTAATGAACAATTGTCATATATGAGTAACATATAAACATCATTCACTAATAAAAACTAACATATATGAACATGTTCATTAATGAACATATATCTGAATGTGTGCGTACGTGTGACTCGTGAACATTGATCAATCAATTCACAATGAATCCTTGATAAGTGTCCATCATATTGTTTGCTTATGAACAAAATGGAAATTGTTCCTTCATGTGTGCATTGTATGTTAATCAAAGGTTCATTCATGTGTGCATTCATGTGATGGTCTTGAAAACCAACCCAAATTCTTAATTTGGTCAGGTGGATGTTCATCTATCGCTTAATAATGACAATGACTACAATCATGGAGTAATTAAGAGTTGTAACCGCCAATTAATATTATGCATTAAAAGATAGACCAAATAGAGAATTACATTCTTACCCTCATTAAATACCAACATCATGGGAATCAACCAAAAGTATATCTTGATTTTGATTGGTGAATAATGGTTTATAAAGTTAACACATAAAAGATCTCAACCCCCCCCCCCCCCTTTCTCTCTCTCTCTCTCTCTCTCTCTATATATATATATATAAATCATTTATTTACCATTTTCACTTTTTTAAGGAATTCTTAATTATCTTATTGGATGAACATGACGAGAGACGAGAATCTTACCCGGTAAGAACGATAACAAAAATGGAGTCTTACCCGATAAGTGAGATTTAACGACTCTTACCCGGTAAACGCTTACCGGCTAAATTGTTACATACAATACCGTTCCAATGGACTACAATCTTACCCGGTAAAGTAAGTCAGAGTGTTCAGAGTGTTAACTTTTACCCGGTAAGCATTTGGATAAACGACCCCTTAATAGTTTAATCATTTGAAATAAGAAAGTTAAGTGATTTACTTATTCAAAAAGAAGTATATGACTTAATCATTCAGACAAGGAAATTTTATTGGCTGGATTCCCATCAAGAAATTCAATCTGTACATTAATTGTAAACCATTGATTTCAATCCTGAAACATGTTCTACACCTCTGAATCATTCAGATCACATCTTTATAAATTAGAAGAAAACCCATGTTCACTCGTACTTCCTCTTGATAAACTTCTTAGCCTTCTCCAGAACTGCTTCTTCCTCCCCATTTTCAGAGGAGCTGAATTGAACTGTCTTCTGAACGATTCAGACTCCAAACCCTCCATGTTTTCTATCGTACTCCTCAGATCCGTAGCCGATAATTCAATCTTCGAATCGTAGCCACTCATCTCGTGATCCATGGTTTTGAAGCCAACTTCTTCTTCGTTGCTGAAGCTTCTCGAAGTCGTCTCTTTTATCTCGTCAAACTCATTACAAACGAGCTTCAAGGCTTGAACGACTTCACCCATGAACGGTCGGTGCGATACCTCCGGCTGAACGCACATCGATGCTATGGCTGCAACTTTGAGTATGCTGTCAAACGGGGTGTTCGAGCTTATGATCTCGTGGTCGATGATCGATTCTAGAGCTTCCCGGTTTGTGAGTTGGGGTCGAGCCCATGAGACAAGATTTTCTTGGCCCGGTGGCTGTAAGAGGTCGACTGGTTTTCTTCCCGTTAGAAGCTCGAGAAGAACCACACCGTAGCTGTAAACATCGCTCTTCACGAGAAGATGGCCGGTCATGGCGTATTCCGGTGCCAGATATCTATAAAAACGTCGTAGAAAAAGAATGTTAACGAAACTACATATTCGTGCGGGTACTTTGGTTAAATGACCTTTTGACGGGTTCTTTTTTTAAAATCATGTTAGGTTCAAGAATGTCGAGGAAAGTTCCGTTAGAAATCCAAAATTGGTTAGACAGGAACCCGTCTACAACTCGTCATGTATCCCTCTTCAGAATGAATATTCATTATGAATAACACATTCATGATGAATATGGACGCGTTATTCATCGTTAATCACATATTCATGATGAAAATGGACAACGGGCCATTTAAGTATATATACAACCTTAAATAAAATTTTAATTAAATCTGTGACGTTTTGATGAATAACACGTCCATATTGCTGATAAATATGCTACGTATCACGCTGTGGACGGTTCACGGGTTCCTACTCAATTTTAGGTTCCTAACGGAACATGCCCCTAAGAATGTTAGTGCTTAACGGAAGAACGTCATTTCCATACACAATAATGCCTAGAAATCTGTAAGAAAATCATGGATTTTAAAAGGCACTCGTAGGTCATTTAGCTAAATAACCCGTTAAGAAACGTACCCGAAAGTTCCCATGACATGTGTTGATATGTGCTTGTGGCCATCCAATGCAGTTCTAGCCAAACCGAAATCCGAAACTTTCGGGGTGAAATCGTTTTCGAGCAAAATGTTGCTTGATTTGAAATCACGATGAATGACACGAGGACTTGAATCTTCGTGTAAGTAAGCTAAACCACGAGCTGCTCCTAGAGCGATCTTCATTCTCGCGCACCAGTTCAGAGGCACGATCTTATCCGGACCTGAATAAGAGATTTTAAAGAATGTAAAAGCAAGCTCCTTAGGGGTTGTTTGTTTACCTCTTATTAGTTCCATTAAAAGACAGATTCTGAATCGTTAAGAGGTGAATCTTGTTTGGTAAAAAAAGTATGATTTTGTATCCTGGGCCTCTCTTAACCATTAAGCGCCCCAATTTCATTGTAAACAATTACCAAACACTTTATCTTTTATTTTGCACTATATCATGAGAGTATCTTAATAATTCTGACCACTTAATCATTCTGTACCGAACCATTCGGCAACTGTCAACCAACCCTCAAAATATCATATAAAAAGATTATTTAAGACTTTATATTTAAAAAATGTCCTAAATTTTATTAGGGTGCTATAAACTTATGGTAATACCTTTACGTATGACACAATTGTTTGGTCTTATAAACTTAAGTTCTATAAAACAACTTATTAATATGTATTTAGACATAATAGAAGGAATGTTGCTTACCATGTAAATGAGATTCGACACTTCCATTCGGAACAAGCTCGTAAACGAGGCATCGAAAATGGTCATCCGTGCAAATTCCAAACAATTTAACCAAGTTTCGGTGATGAAGACGACTCAGCATCTCGACTTCGGCCAAAAACTCACGACTGCCTTGCCGATCGTCTCGTTTAAGAACCTTCACAGCAACCTTCCTTTCATCTTCAAGAACACCGCTATAAACAACCCCGAAACCACCTTCTCCGAGAATCCTACTCGAATTAAAGTTATCCGTCGCCTTCTCGATCTCGCTCAAACTATAAATCTTGGCGGTTCCGGTGTACGCCATTAAACTCGAGCTAAACGACATCATATCGGAACTTTTCCTGCTTCCAACTATCAACGATTCTCCTGCTCCTAATCGAGTTTTAATGGCTTTCTATAGTTAGCGTCTGTGGTACGAAACGAGTGATCGTATATTTTAATTCATTTAACGTTACATATCGATCAATATAACAAAATTTTGGCCCAATCGTACCCATAGAGCCCATCCACCGAAGAGGTCAAAGGTTCAAACTACACCAAAGTGAGAAGGGTAAATTGCATGAAAAAATAACGTATTTTAACTAGATTCCTATTTTGAGTAACGGATTTTCAAAACTTCCATTTTGGTACATAAGATATAAAGTTTTAAACATTTAAGTACCCAAGTAACAGGTTGAAGCATTAACCGGTTACCATGCTGATGTGACGAGTGATGAGATGAAATTGGGTTGAATAACAAATAACATTGAGTTGGATACAACATCAATCATCACATCAGCATGGTAACCGGTTAATGCTTCAACCTGTTACCCGAGTGCTTAAATAGTTAAAACTTTACACCTTAGGTCCCAAATGGATGTTTTGAAAGTTCGTTATCCAAAATAAAAATCAAGTTAAAGTACGTTACTTTTTCATGCAATTTGCCCAAATGAGAAATGTGCATGAGTATTTGCATAGACTCCGATTTAAAATGAGAATTTGAATGAAAATATACAAATTGCATGAAAAAAATAACGTACTTTAACTTAATTCTTATTTTGGAAAACGTACTTTCAAAACTTCTATTTTGGTAAATAAGATGTAAAGTATTAAACATTTAAGTACTCGGGTAACCAGTTGAAGCGTTAACCAATATCATGCTCATGTGACGAGTGATGTGGTATCCAAATCAGTACTGTTTGCTAAAGTGGTTAGTGATATGGATTTTTAATCTAAAATTAGTCTCCAACCGGTTACCCGAGTACTTAAATAATCAAAATTTTATATCTTAGGTACCAAAATAGAAGTTCTAAAATTACGTTACTAAAATAGTAATCTGAGTTAAAATAAGTTGTTTTTACATACAATTTGCCCGTTGAAAAATGCCTAAAAATCGAACAACAAAATTACCTGATGGTTTCCCTTGGGACGAAGTACGTTCACGAGGCTCCTTTTCCGTTTGTGAATCGGAAGAACAACATCCACATTTCAACAAGAAAAGCCACACAGCTCCGATGATAACAACAAAAGCTGTCACCGCCGATAGAATCACCACCGCGATCATGCTTCCATTTGGCCTATCGTTTTTCTCTCGTCCGTTTCTAGGTATGTCAACTCCGATCGGCTTAAACGGCCTTCCTTTTTGATCGTTTACAGAATCCGATTGATCGATTGTTACGCCGGAATTCAAAGGCACCGCCGGCGGAGATGGCGGAAGACCTAAAATGAGTAAAATCAGATCGAAATCATACATAACTCAAAATTTTGAAGCTCTTCAAATTTGTAGAAATTGAGATCGGAAGTATGCAAAACCTGGATATCGAACATATACGACTTCATAGGCTCCAAATCGAGAGGTATTTATGAAAACTTGTTTCTTCCAGAACTTTTGGTAGATGGAAAAAGCGTTTGCTGGATCGAAATTTTGTTTCAGAGGTACCAAATTGACGAGAACGATGGTTTCATCGAGCTGCTCGCCGGCTGCATTGGCTCCCATTATTCTGGCTTGGCTTAGATTGAGTGAAACACCGGTGGCGATTTCTTTCGCGAGTTCTGAGACCAATGGAAAGAATGTATACGGAGAGATAACGAGTCGTAAGCGAACTTCGATTGGCCACACACAAGCACACGGCGATCCGGATGGTGTGTACGTCAATGGCTGCGTGCAGGTCACCGTTGTACAATCTACAAGTAGAGTTCGAAATTAGATGCAACTTAACGAGCTTAACGGGACTAGGAGCTTATTCGGTCAGCTATACATGACAATTTGGTATTGGCTTAATCACACTCCACATTCCATTACTTGAGTAATAAAAGCATGGAGTTCTCTTCTTCTTAGCATTCTTGTTTGCTCATCTTATGCCGTTTACCAAATGTTTGTCCGGGTAAGCGCTTACCAAGTCACATTTCTTTACCTGGTATATGGTAAGGTCCAAGAACTTACCCTGTAAGAGCAAGACAAGGACCAAGAGTCTAACCTAAGTAAGTGGGAGTGACGACTCTTACCGCAGTAAGCTCTTACCGGGTAAATTGTTGCATACAATGTCGTTTTGATAGACTAAAATCTTACCCGACAAGTAAATGATAGTGTTAAATTTTACTATTAAGGATACAGTTAGTCACCTTCATTAGGAGGTGGTGGAGGTAGCGCGAAAACTGGAGTGGGTGGAGTAGCCGTCGTTTTTGTTAACGAGGAGCTTGATGGAGATATCGTGGGACCTTTAACGTAGTACCATAGTTAGTAATCTATGTAAGACTTGGGATCATGTGAGACCAGTCTGTTTTCATAAGACCACAAGATAACACTAAACCTTCACAGCAAAACACTGTTAAGGTATAAAAGAACATTGAACCTTCACAGCAAAAACATTGTGAAGGTTTGTTTTTGTACCTTCATATTGTTTTCCCTGTGAAGGTTCAGTGTGTTTTTGTGCCTTTACGGCTAGTCTCACAGATGTCACGGAAACAGACTGGTCTCACGAGAATCCAAATAATGATGATCTTGTAACAAGAACATCATTGGGATGACAAAAATATTAAAGCATTAGAAATCTTGCTCACTTCCAAATCGTGTTGTTGGATCAACTGGTGATGGTGCAGGAGCAGATGGACCTATTCAAGATCATCACAAACTCAATCGGAAATCCGTACACAATGCTTAGTTTCGGGATGTTTTTTCAAAATGACGGAACTGACCTCGAGCGATGTAAGTCGGTGGTTGAACTTGATACGAGGGTGTAGGGGCAAAATGGTCAGGTTTCTTTCTTTCATGATGATACCTGAAAAAAGAGAGGCTAGAAGAAGATGCAGATCCTGGTTTCCTCCATTTCGTTGCATGATGTTTGGCCGGTGAACGTTTTTCATAGTGATCGGGCGCTAAAGAGTGACCGCTCGTGGGAGTTGATGCCTGCAAAACACCATGATCTGTAGCAAGAAATGGTTTTTATCGGATTAGATATACCGATAGACTTGGGATCATACAAGACCATAGAAAAACACCGAACCTTCACAGCAGAACACTATGAAAGTACAAAAAACACTGAACATTCACAATAAAAACACCGTGAAGGTTTGTTTTTGTACCTTCATAGTGTTTTTGTCGTGAAAGTGAAGTGTGTTCTTGTGCGTTCACAGCTGGTCACATGGGTCTTAATGAAACAAAGTGGTCTCACGAAAACCCAACCCCCTATGCTAATGAGTGCACATATATTTGTCTTTCTGAAGGAAAATCGGCTCAACCGAATGTGTTTGACTTTTCAGGTCAAACCAATCTTTTTTGGTTTCGAAATCAACACGGGTTTTTTAGTAATCGACGAAAACGAATGTAATATATATACACTTTAAAGCATATATTCAAAGAACAATTACACTGTTTTTTGGATTTGATAGAGATCATGTCGTGTTTGGATTAGAAAAATGACCAATTTTGACCAATCAAAAAGTCAAATTTCTCAAAAATGAAGACTAGAAAACACTGCTACATTGGATCCTACAACGGACAACAAATCAATCAAACAAAAATTCAACACAATTTCCTCAAATCAAAGGTTCAAGAACTTTGCCAGTATAAAATTTTCTCCAAGAAAGCTGAAATCAACAAGAATTCAAGAAACCCATCTCGACCACGACGGTTGTGGCACAGTGGTTGAGATCCAGGGACGCGGTGGAATATCCCATCTGCTTCGGATTCGATTTCAGACGTCCACAACAATTGTAGCCACTGAGTTTATCACGGCTGATGTGCATTTTCTGGGATTAGTCTGGGCATAGGGATACATACCCTTTTTAGAAAGAAAAAAAGAAACCCATCTTACAATCTCATCAAAATTTCATCCCATATCACAATTTCAAGAAACCCATCTGATAATTTCAAGAAACCCATCTCACAATCTCTTCAAAATTTGACCCCATCTCACACAATTTCAAGAAACCCATGTGATAATTTCAAGAAACCCCATTTTCTTGCATAAAAAAAGTCAAAAATACCCTAAATTTTCTTGAAGAAATTGAAGCCATAAACACAAAATCCAATTACCTGCAGATCTAAGAGCCAAAGAATCACCACCGACAAACAAAATCAAGAATGTGATCAGCCTCAGAATCACTCGAAACCCCATTGACAACCAAAATGAACATGAAAACCTCAAAAGGGTTTCAATATCTGAATTCAGCCCCACAACCCAGAATTTGCAGTGGACATTTATACTGTACCATCCATAGCTTTCTAAAGAGAAGCAGGTAAAAATGGCCCAATTTTGCAGAGCTTATTGGTGATTGCCATTAATGGAATGATGATGGTGTGTTTTGACACCCAAAATCAGAAGGGTTTTTGCTCTGAATCAGCTGGCTGAATTCAAGAACCCACAAAACCCATTAAGAACATTTGGCACCCTTCTTTCCCAAAAAGCAAACAAATGAATTATGTATGGGTTTGTTAAGTGGTAAAAGGAGTAGTAGTATGAGTGATGAGGTGATGAGAGAGAAAGTAGGAGAGAGAAAGTGATATTGATTTCTTGATGATTCTTGAATGCCCAAAGATCATAATGATTCCTTTGTGAGATGTTAGTTGAAATCAAGAAATCTTTGGCTTAATTTGACTTTTATTGCCTAAATACCCATTTGATTATTCATTTTGTTTGGACATTCACATTATCCAATCTTTTAAAAAGTTGGTTTCGTTACCCCTTTTTTCTCCTTTATTTATTTCACTTTTTCTTTATGATGACTTTGATATGGGATTTATAGAACAAAAGTAATCATTAAAAAAACATTTTTTTTATAAATGAAGTATTGTTTATTGATGCATGTTACTTAAAATTCAAGATTACAAGTAAATTGTATGTAAGTACATTTTATTAAGCTTCATGTTTGAATTCTTGTAACTAACTGTAAATAAATATAATCAAATATAGGATACAAGTTCTTATTTTAAATATAAAATCTAAAATATATTTAGGATAATCATTGAGTTCTAACACAATACTTGGTTATTATCTTCATAAAAGTTATATTATTAAAGTAAAAATAAATTATTTTGTCATTAAACCTAAATTAAATTATAAAAAAAAATTGAATTAAAGAAATTACACAAAAATTGAGAACTTTTATATATATATTTTAATTTTTATGATATCTTCAAATATATATTTTATTAAGAAAACATTATTGTTTGCTCAAAACACATACATTTGTATTATAATATCGACAAAAATCAAAAAAATAAAATGAAACGTTGAAATCGAGATATATCTCGTTGTATTGCGTGAGTATCCATCTAGTATTTAATATATTCAAACAAATTAAATGGTTTTTAAATGGGTTCAATTTTTTTTTGAAAGGATGTCCTCCTAGGCTATGTTTGAACTAATCCCGATAAATTTTAACTACAAGAAATCAGCCTTAATATACTTAGTATCCACAATTATTGTGTACACCTTGAATCGAACTATGGCCAGATGAGATATTCAACCACATCCTCTAGAACATCAACCACTACGCCACACCCCTTGTGGTTTAGATTGGTCCGATTTCACTTGCTGCTAGGCTGAATCAGATGTCAACCTGTGCAGACACCAATGAATAACCAATTATGATCGATAAGTTTTTAACTAAATCTGATGATTTTTTGCACACCTTTTTTTCAGAAAACACAGTATAGAGAGATATTTCATCCACCAATAATGTGTAGGCCTTACTAGATGCTTCATTTCTTTTTGCATTCTTAGAAAAAGTAAAAGGGTATTATGGGAATAAATGGGATTCATGTTTTTTTCTTGTACCCAAAGGGAAGATAAGAGTAAAGAAAGATAAAGGGTGTGAAGGTTATATAGAATTCCACATTTTTCCTTTTTGTTATAAAATTTTATAATTTCATAAATATCAAATAAAAATAATATTTAAATTCAAAATATTTATATTATTTAAAGAACATAAATTGTTTAGTGCAATAACACTAGTTGTTTTTTTTTATAAATAATTATATAATAGAATTTTATTTTAGTGATTAAAATATATCATTTTTTTTATGGATATAATATTTATATACGGTAAACACAACAAATAAACTCATTCACACACACACACACACACATATATATATATATAGAGAGAGAGAGAGAGACCAGACTATTTTCGTGAGACCTATGAAACCATTTTTTATATTTGAATTTCACAGGAAAACACTGTGAAGGTAAAAAAAAATATGAACCTTCACAGCAAGAACACTGTGAAGGTTACCTTCACAGTGTTTTGTTGTGAAGTTTCAAGTGTAAAAAAATGGTTTCACAAAAATAAGCTAGTGTGTGTGTGTGTGTATATATATATATATAATCAATTTATTGCTTATGTCGCTTAACCGTTATGAACTCTATGAGATCGAATCTCCCGTTATTCCTTAGTAGCTCAGTGGTAGAGCAGTCTAAAATTTTCAAAGTGCGAAAAGAATAAAAGAACCTATTGGAACATGAAGTTAGTGGCAGTTGGCCTAGAGAGATACGGATGATATATTCGGGGATGATAAATAGATTGAGTACAAATAAGAAACTGAATCTGAATTGTCCAATCATCCAAGTAGCAGAATTCGAGCTTTGTTGTTGATAATCATAACGGAGGACAAGTATGTGTAAAATGCCCTATTTTAACATTTGATTTGTGGTTGAGATAGGATCTCACAGTTATCACAAATTACTGAGTTCTCTATTGAATAACCATATATATATATATATATATATATATATATATAATTTTATGGAATATTTATTAAAATATATTTTAAAAAGATTCTGAAAACATGTGTAAAATATGGATGAAGAGAAAAAAACAAGAAAAATATTAAATAAACAAAAATTATGGAACCTAACCATCAAATTCATTATGAACTTCTTAAAAAAATATAAAAAATTCAAATCTATTAGTTTTGAAAATGGTCAAAGGGATGGAAAATTGTGTTAAGTATATCCAGAGGTTGTTTGTTTACCTTTTAATAGTTTTATTAAGAGGTAGTTTCTGAATCGTTAAGAGGTGAATCTTATATGACAAAAAAAAAATGTCTCTTATTGGTTCCAAAACCTTAAGGGGCTGTTTGTCAATTGCTGAATGGTTTGGTGCAAAATGATTAAGTGGTTAAAATAATCAAGAGGCTCATGATATAGTGCAAAATGAAATATATTCGTTTGGTAACTGTGTACAATGAAATTAGGGCTCTTAATGGTTAAGGAAGATCCATGATACAAAATCATTCAGAGGGTTTTAGAACCATTAAGAAACAAACTTTTTTTTGTCAAACAAGATTCATCTCTTAACGATTCAGATGTTGCCTCTTAATGGAACTATTAAGAGGTAAACAAACAACTCTAAATGATTTTGTATCTTGGACCTCTAACCATTCAACACCCTAATTTTATTGTAAACAATTATATTTCATTTTGCATTATATCATGAGAGCTTTTTAATCATTTTGCACATAATCATTCAGCAACTGTCAAACAGCCCTTAGACGCTTATAACAGTTTATTGTAACAGTATATTTTTTTATAATTATATTTAATATATGATACGTGGATCAGATAAAATTAAATCTGAACGATCCATATAATTTTTGGTAAAACAAAGACACAATATGGGTTTAATGAATTTTTGAAAATATTTTATTTTTGATTAACCTAAATATCCAACACACTATATGAGCTGACTAATCCCATGACGACCACCTGCTTTGCGGGTAACCCAGAGTCACCGCATTTGAACCTCCGTGACCATAAGAAATTTTTTATTCATCCTTAAATTTGAACCTGAAACCTTCAGATACTTTTGACCTTTAGAACCCAAACGCAAATCAATCAACACTTTTGACCTTTCAACTTGGAAATATTGAAAATCATGAATTTGAGTTATAAAAATAACTTATTGACTTATTCCAGTGTGACACCGGTAATAAACACTTTTGAGTGTTTAGATAAACAACTTATACCGGTGCCAAACCGGTAATAAAAAGTTTTTAAAAAAATTAAACTCTTCTGACTTATAATAATTTGATAAATACTTTTATAAAAAAACAAAAATTATTTCAAATAAACAATACTAAACAACCCATAAAATATCAATATATTAATTTATGGATGGTTAAAAGTAAAATGGTGAACTATACCTTTTGTTCCTATGGTTTGTTCAAATTTACAAATTTAGTCCATATGCTTCATTTTATTACATTTACAGTCCCTGTTGTTTGCAAATTCTCATGGATATGGTCCCTCGTGATAACCTTATTAAAAAAAGTCCGTTGTAATTTGTTTTTTCTCTTTACACATTTATCTCATTTTCTATTAAAAATACCCTCCCTCTCTTCTTTCTAGAAACACCACTGACATCCCGTTACCCCTCCTCCAACCAGCATTCTTCCAAACACAAACTCGAGGGCCTTGTGTTACCGTGTCTCTATATTTAAGCAACTGATAATAACAAACACAGTTGGGCTCGAGAACCATCCATCGTGAACTTGATGCTTGAATATCCAACTGAGTTCTAATGTTTTTTCATTGCCAGATCAGTTATTTCAGGTAATATCTATTTTGACTTCAATTTACAATGTATCATTGCGTACTGTTCATTTGTGAGCCGATCTGTAAAACTTTCGTATTGGAAGAGTAGTTATATCTTATATGGTGTCGTTGGATTTAGCCATTGTATTGTCTACATCAGCCATGAATATTTACGATAGGTAGCATATAAAACATAGACTTCATGTATGTACATCCAAAAGCAGGTGAATGTTGTAGACAGAGGGAACATAAGGAGATGATGCATCGTAGAAACACACTTAAAGGAGATGTGATAGAGGAAGGGGCGGGGGGATAGATTTATTCAGTTTTCGCTTTTAAAATATCAAACATTTATATACTGTAAATTCTAAAAACATTTATAACAGATTCTTTAAGAAAATTCAAAACGGAGAACCAAAAGTCAAAATCTCGAAATAAATATATTCATTTCCAATAGATTCTCTATTTTGAAGAATCCAATATTGATTATAATATTGAAATATTATTTATCTCTAAATATTTATTTTCAAAGATTCATATTGATGGTTTCAGGGGCCGTTTGCCAGTTGCTGAATAGTTTGGTGCAGAATGATCAAGTGACCAAAATGATTAAAACGCTCTCATGATATAGTGCAAAATGAAATCTAATTGTTTGGTAATAGTTTACAACGAAATTAGGGCGCTAAATGGTTAAAGGAGGTCCACGATACAAAAAATCATTCAGAAAGTTTTAGATCTATTAAGAGACAAACTTTTTATTTTGTCAAACAAAATTCACCTCTTAATGAAACTATTAACAGATAAACAATTTCTCCAGTTTTAAAGATAGTTTTTGGGGTGTTCTTCATATTTGGAAAAAAAAACCCTTCTATCTTCTACTTTCTCTATTTTTAAGGAAGTTGTTGAAGCAAAATATTGGCTCAAAATCTCATTTTTTTTTGTTT